TGCAGTATGCCTGCGCCATGTCGCAGGCCAGGTCCCAGGGGGATCGCCAGGCGGGGGCGGCGATGCGCCTGACGGAGGCGGTGATGCGATCACCGGAGTCGGAGCCGGAGTCGGACCGGAATCGGAATCGTCTCCGAGGGGCCGAAAGGGAGGTTCCCCTGACAGGGTCTTGAAACCGTCGTGTTGCTCCCAGCCTTCAGGTTCGCCCTCTTCCCAGAGTTTGAGGACCTTTTCTTCTGTGGCCGTCGGATCGAGTCCATCAGACCATCTCTTTCAGTATGTTCCAGCGTAAGCATGGAACAGTCCCGCCGGCAATAGCACGATATCCTGATTGTCCCCTTTCCCAGTGTCATACCCGTTTCTTCTGGATAAAGTGTCGGCATGACCATTCATTTTCCCCGGGTTTGTGTAGGAGTGAGATGTGATATTCACTCAGTTTGAGCAACCACCATGCTTGCCGTCGATTCAACTTCTTGGCAGTCATGAATTACTCCAGATTCTTGTAGTCAGTCCAGATCTCGAAAGGTTTCTCTTCCCTGTTCTGGAGGTAATGGCATCGGTCAGGGCGCGCATGATCGCGAGCATTCATGAATGTCGTAGTTGCACCTGGTGTCGTTCATGGCCCGGGAGAGGAACACAATAGTCATCCACTTCCCCTCTTGTTCCTGCAAAAGGACGGCCCCAGTAGCGAAGTCAGAGGAGTCTGCTTCGACCCACCACACCCCGTGATCTGTAGGGAAGTGTAGAACCGGTTCGTCCATAACCCGAACTATCAGCATTTGAAAGGCTTCTTCCTCTTCCTGTCCCCATTTCCATGGGCTGTCTTTCCGGGTCAGTCGGGTGAGTGATTTGGCGTATGCGCCGCAAAGAGCTTTGGACCTCCTGCAAATTGTGGGGTCAGGGCCATTCATGCACGCCCGTGACTTTCACCGGGTCCATCTGGAGTTGCCCGTTCCTGACGATCACCCCGAGATATTCAACCTCGTTCCCGCTCCTTCGCGCCAGTCGATAACAGGATTGTGCTTCGAGAACAGGAACATCGGGAACGTTATGGGTGTACCCAGTTCATACGAACTCTTCTAGTTCAGGCCCATTCTCGAAGGGGTGCGGCCACAGCTGGTCCAGTGGCGCTGATCGCCATGTTGTGGACCATCCGTTGAATGGGTTGTGGTTGCTGAACCCGCTCTTTGTGGGGGCGGGCGCCATCGGGGGCGTCTTGGCCCGAGGGTGGCTGATCTTATAACTTTTGTCAAAGATGCAGTAGCGGCCGTCCTGTTTGATGGCTTCTGCCTTCCAGGCCTCATAGGTGTCAGGGAGGGTGTCCTTTCAATAGACCGTGTTCATAATGGCCCGAAGTATGCCATTCTTAGCAACACAGATGAGGTTGACGTCATCGTAGTGCGCCACCTTGTTGAGGGAGTCGAGGATGGTAAAATAACTGGTCTCTCATGGCCGAAATGGCAAAGTGGACAGAGCGCTGACCTGCCTATTCAGAATTCTCGTGTCTGAAGCCGCCTACCTCATCTGGCAAATGCGCCATGAGTACAGAATCAAGCGGGACAGCATGGGCCCAGTAAGCGAGAAGGAGGCGCACAACAGATGGTACCGCCAGCTTGACCTGCGTCTTGAGTTAGACCGCCAACTGACCAACAAGCTTAAATGGAAGAAGAAAGCTCTCAACACGACACTGGTGACCAACACCTGGCGTTGAGTCCTCATGAACAAAGACACACTCCCAGCGGACTGGGCAAGTCCCGCTGTCGAGCTCCAGGTTTTAGTGGGTCGGGAGGTGGTGATGATGGGGTAGTCTACTACCCTGGAGCGCCTCCCAGCCCCACACGACGCAACCAGAGAGCCGTGACAGCAGACCGGCATAAGTGCAGTTGTGCATTTCCTGGTGGTGGTAGTGTCGGACGGGGTTTCTTGCTTTGCCTCGTAAATTAACTTTGGCCTTTGGAGGACGACTGGGTCGGCTCCGATGATCCCAAGTGGGTGAGGGGAACCACTATATGTATTTTATGTATGGGGGTACTTCTAAATGCTATCTAAGTTCCACAGAAATAACTGGTCTCGTCCATGTCTTTGGTCTGTACGTGTCAATAAAGCTCCTCAGGAGTGGCTGGACCTGCGGATGGTTTCACAGGTACGTGACATCCGCATCCGCAGGTTTTCATATCTGCGGATGGAGGTACCTGTTCTCCCACGAATGGTAGGGGATGGAGGTCTTGGTGCGAAAGGTTATGGGTACCTGTACTTTATGCACTTATACTCACTTATACTGCTTTTGGTCCTGTCTAATCAATTGATAGTGCAGAAAATAATATTTATTAAAGCTTATGAACACTTTACAACCGACCATCACTGTCTTCATATATAATCCAATAAATATTACCCCTTACCATCCGCAGGTACCTATGAGAGGTACCTGTATCCGCGGATGGAGGTACCTTGTGTCCTACTACCAGCTAGGGATGGAGGTATTGTTTTTTAAGCAAAAAAACCTGCAGGTGAGTGGAGGTACCTCACCTGTGCCAGTCGTGAGGAGCTTTAGTACGTGACTTGACATTTTCTGCTGGGCAATCTCAGCATGGGCCTCCCCCTCGGAAGGCTGCAATGATTCCATGTGACTGTGCTTCCTCCTTTGATGTAGGAGAGAGCGTACAAGATCTTTTGTACCTCGTTGTTATAAATGTTCACGTAGGCTTCAAAGGCCAACCAACAGTCTGCCAGGAAGGCATCTACTTTGCTGGCTTTGCCCGTGAACTCCTTAGGAGGAGAGATGGTTACTCGTGTGTTTCACGTTCGTCCGCCTGGTTCGCGGGGATGCCCATCGTACTGTCGTGCTCGGTAGACATTTGTCGCACTTCTTGTGTTCGTGGGGGAGGCTAATATTCTGTCAGCGTCGGGCTCGGGCCGTATTGGGGCGTCGGGTGGTCCGACTTCGAGTGGGTCTAAGGAGCACGAAAGATGGGGTTCAGCCCGGAGAATAGACAATATTAGCCTAACAACTACATTCTGTAAGTATGGTTTTTATACACTAGAATATTAGGGATGGATCGGATGGGTGCCAGGTCCCAGGGCGGATCGGATGGGTGCTGTGTAGGGCCTGTAGGGGTGAAGGGAAGGGGTTGGAAGAATTAAAAGATTTTAGCAACTGTATTTGATAAGTAATACAGAGATGCTATGAATATACCAGGGTTTCAGCTAAAAAATGGTCCCGAAAGCAGAATTACTCTTATATTAAGCAGATGTTGTGTGAATGTATGCACATGTTTGGCATTGACTTTCACAATTAATTTGCTTCACACTTCCATTTTTGGGTCACTGCTGTTAAAGTCCTAAATGTGTAAAATAAAAGCTGTAAAATATGACCAATCATAATTGGGACGTAAAGCTGTAAGTGATGTCTTGCACCCAGTACTGTGAGCAAGTTGTATCTAAGGTTATTTACAAGTAAATATTCTCAGATTGCCCATAAATTGAGAAAGTTAGTGACTTGGATTGCACTCAATATATACTAGCAACAGATATTTAGGAAGGCCATCACACCAGGGATTCAGGCAAAAATGGGATCTTATGGCATATTTGGTGTATTTATTTGCTACAAATTGTAGCCATATATATATGGCAATTTGGCACTTATTTCTGAATTCAAAACTTTTCTTGGTGAATTGAAATTTAAATAGATAAATTTCAATTCACCTCTCTGTTGGGAAAGAAAAGTTTTGAATTTGTGGTATTTTTGTTATACTAGCCAAGTCCTTGATGGCCTGGCCGGAAAGCTTTGTATTCAGACCAGCTACTCTTGAATAACATCTCGGAAGTCAAAGTGGAATGCCACTGCCTCCGGAGTGCGGACCAGGGTACTAACCACACCACTTGTTTCTGCGTATTTGATCAAATCTATTGTAGTCAAACTTGAATTAAGTACTCCATAAGTACTCCACTGATGTAATTATGACGATCTCAAACTAACTATACTTCCATGCCCAATAGTCCGTATAAGAAGGAAGCGCTCCGGGCACTCTGAGAGAAGTGAATATTCACATGCACCCATGACCATCCTTACTTTCTCGAACAAGCATCTAGTAGACTGCACCCTTGCTGACGCTGACGGCGCGGTCTACTACACAATCAGCTCCACAGACGGCATGTTGGGGAAAAAGCGCACGGAGATACAAGCACGCGGTGGAACAGTGGGAGCAATCGACTGGCGGGGGAAGACGATCACGCTTGACGGCGTCGAGCATGTGCTAGGAGACGTCCGCACGCATCGGGTAAGCCAGCTGCTGTCATTGGCTGTGGCTTGGTGAGGCTGACGCGATAAATGCCAGGGTACATTGCTCTTGCCAAGGGACACAGTGTGGTGCTGGGCTGGGAAGACATACAACGTGGACGTGCACCGCAAACCCGAGCAAGGCATCCAGGCAGTATGCGAGCAAGCGCCATTCGGCACCGTCCACTTTCTGGCGCACAAAGGCCATCTTCTGCGGGGGAGCGATAAGGCCACCATTGAGTTCCCCGCGCAGATGCAGGACGAAAGTGAGCAAATGTTTGTGCTAATGGCGATTCTATACACGGAGATGAGGAGACAGAAGGTGCGTGCAATTTACATTGCAACTCGTGAATGCTCCACTGGCAGTTAGCTGAATCCAGTTATAGTCAGAGAAGGCCAAGCCAGCGATTGAGCTGTTGGTAGACATTGGGACTGGGGGGTAATGAGTTGGTGATTCTGAATCAGTCTGGTGGAATTTGAGGCTGAAATTATGGCTTGACTCCTACACATTGAGTTGAGACCTTGAATTATTGTAGTTTGTCTATCAGTCATCCATCAAGTTCACAAGAAGCCAAATTAATACATGACACATACCACAGTATTATCGTGGTTATTGCTTTGAGTCAAAGATACACTTCAAGTTGGTAATTGAGCAATCAGTTGTGTAGTATGTTTAATATTACCATGTTTAATATTACCTGGTGTCAAGTAACATACATGCATATTATCGAGAAGGCGCAACATGTCCAAACGTAGACAATCCAAGACTCGTCGTACCAGAAGTATCTGTAGAAACACTGTCACAGTCCAAGGTCCACTGAAAATCCTGAAATGACGGCATAACATTCATGTCGGGTTGAACCGGCTGGACATTGGCTGGCGGGAATGCTGGTAGGAAACTGTTCATGTCCGAGTCGAGTGCCACAGATGACGAGCCAACAGGCGCCGCAGGTGTAGTGGTGTGCACCGGAAGCGGGAGCGACATTCCCAGGGCCACATTAATCGCATGGTCATCTAGCGGTGGTGGGAGCAAGCCGTCTGTGGCCTGCTGCCCGGGCCATCCGTGCTGGGGCGCAACAATGGGAGGAGGCTCAGGTACGTCTTGGAACAAGACATCGAGCGGGCCAAATGGCACAGGACTGCCACAGGTGAAGGCAGACTCGGAAACGCTGCGACTCGAGTGCCGCGAGGAACATGACTTCTTCCGTGTAAGGGAGTTATATCTAAGGTATATGTCAATAGGTGCCAATGACCACACAAGGCAACCTCTGCATACCGATTCTTTGCCGCAAGCCCGGTCCTTCCGTGAAAGTACTTCTTCACAATCTTCGACCATTTTGTCCCCTGCTCCTGCACCGCAGCAATGAGGAGGTTATCCTGTGATTCCGACCATGCACCATGATCAATCGCGGGATCAAGAGTATCGCTCCAGCCCTTGGCACACTCTTCGCTAGGCAGTCAGCATCGTGCGAGAGAGGGTAGTACGGTACTCACGGTCACTGTTCCGCGTCTGCACAATTTCTGCGACGTGGCACCATCTACAGAATCGGTTTTGGAGGACACGGACGAAAACAAAACGTACCTTGGTCCGCACTGCTTAACAGCACTTATAAGCCGCGCGTCCTCGTCGTACGCCCATTCGCCTCGTGTTATGTCAGCAGTAAGCTTCGAGTACCATCGCTTGCGACAGTCCTTGTTACTGCGGCCAGGCACGTGTTGCGCAATGGCCATCCATCGCGAAGGCGCGGACCCCCTGCCCTCCTCTGCAGATCGCTCGTAAGCAAGTGACAGTGCGATGACGTTGACAACACTCACCAATAGCCACTCCGCCCCGGAGCAGACGATCTTCCTCGGCCGTCCATGGTTTCCGAGCGCGGTTCTTGTTGGGGGAGTCGTGAGTCATAATTGTAGTATCGTGGAAAGCCATTTCCCTCTTCTTTTATACACAGCGGTCGACGATTGCGGGCGCCACGGGTGTTGCATCATCGTTTGCTGCCGTGTGCACAGGGCCCCACGAGACAGAAATATACCGACAGGCGGACATAGAAATGACACACGACCTGGGGTAAGATGGCGTCCGGTGGGAACCTTTAACCAATGGGCTTGAAGGCACTGTCGGCGTCGCCAGCAAAAAGAGGGCTCACGGCAATCCCATGTTCTACGCCGCTCGAACGCCGCGGCCCACTGCTCCAACGGCCGCCCCAGCTCACAAGAGACCCACTTCAGGCTTCGCCAGATAATGACATGCCGACGGACGTCACGCTGGGAAGGGACCTTCCGGAATCTGCATGGGGCCCGGGACTTTTCAAGTCATTACCAGTACATAGTCAAACAAAGCACACACCTGTGGGCTAGATATACTGGGCAAAAATTGCACTGGAATGCACAGTTGGCGCGCGGCAAAGGTTTGACATCGTGGTTGAGAGCAAAAGAGATGTGCTTACGCGAGAGCTTCTCGTCAGCAGATAACGTGACTTGTATCAACACCCGTTGTCGGCGGTTTCGGACCAAACATGACGGCGTGGGAGGATGACGACAATTTTTTCCGCAAACCTCCATCGGCGATCCTCCCGCCGCACCCCATGAGGCGGTCTTGCGGCGGCCTATGGGGCTCCTCTCTCCAAACTCATGTCTCTCTCCATTAGTCGCAAACTGGATTTGGAGTGCATCGGGGCTCCATATGCATGTCCACTTCCTGCTGTGATACTACTGATTCACGTGTTATGATACGGACATAAGTATACAGATGTCTTCCGCAAACATCCAAGTATTGTGTTCTCGACAAGTCCCCGACGACCGTCACTCGGACTCACTCCTGATGAATCCAGGAATTGCCACAAGTAACTGGTTCAAATACAAATTGCAATTTTAATAAAACTGTCACATCCAAGCCATTCTAATTCTACTCAAGTTCATCTCTCTATGCAGCGACATACGTCGGGATGCCAAAGCGCTCCTGCAGCACGACATAGCTCAGCACCGCCATGAGCATGCCGCCGCGGGGGTCGAACGCGCCCTTGGGGAGGAATGCGGGGCGGTCGAGGTACGCGTCGAGCTGCTCCTTGATGTAGTCCCAGCGGATGAACCCGAGGCGCTCGACGGTCTCCTTCGTGATGCGCTGCTTGAGGTGCTTCTGCAGCGGGAGCAGCTCGCCCTGCCCGTCCGCCTGGATCGCCGCGGGCGCCGGCGGGGGGTTGTAGATCACCTTCTTCCGCTCGTACACCTCGTTCGAGATGAACGGCTTCGCGGCCTGGCGCAGGATCCACTTCTCGGTGAGCTGGTAGGGCGGCTTCTGGTCGGGGGCGTTGGCGATGGGGCGCATCTTAAGTGATCTGACAAGACAGGTAAGTGAGCGAGTCCCAAGCTATGACAGGGTAAGTAAAGACATACGCAGGGAGGCTGTTGACATAGTCGACGAGGTGGTGGTCGAGGAAGGCAGCACGGCTCTCAATCGAGTTCATCATGTCGGCACGGTCGCCGACGGCACTCAGAATGGCGCGGGTAAGCAGCGTCTTGGTGGTGATGTACTGCGACACGTGCATTGGGTGCCAGCGGCCCGAGATCGACATCTCCCGCACCCGCGCATCAACGCCCTCCTCCGTCCGCCTGCCAACATCGACGGCGCCATATGCAGCGACGACCTCGGGCTTCAGCATCTCGGTGTTGACACCGTAGAAGACGCGGGCGGGGACAAGGTGGGACGCGGTGGTGGTAAGAGGTCGGGGAGCATTCGCCCGCTCGGGAGCCATCTCGCTCGCCTGGCGAGCGGGCAAGCCACTGGCGGCTTGGTAGCCGGCACGGAGGCCAGCACGCTGCTTCTCGTTGGGGAGATCAAGGCCAAGAGCTTCGCCAGATGGGTCCGCAGCCTGGAGAAGGTCAAGGCCGAACCAGGGGTATCCACCGAAAATTTCGTCGGAGCCCTCGCCAGTCAAGACGACCTTGAAGCCACCCTTCTTGACAGCGCGGGATAGAAGGGTCTTGCCGCAAGCGTGGAAAGTGGCGGAGGGCTGCTCGCCGTGGTAGATGGTATCCTCGAGGACCTCAACGAGCAAGGCTTCGGTGGTGGGGACCTTGACGAGGTTGGCGCCAATGAATTCGGCAGTGTGCTCGGCAAGGGGTGACTCGTCAGTGGAAGGGTCCTCTGTTGAACGTTAATCCAAAGGAATCAAAGAAAGCATAATAACGCACCAATATAATGGAGGGTGAAGACGGTGATGGTAGCATCGGGGTTCTTCTCCTTTAGCAGCTTCTGAGAGATGCCCGCAACCGTAGAGCTGTCAATTCCACCGCTAAGATAGAAGGCGAGGGGCACATCCGAGCGCAAACGCAGCTGGACGGCCTTGACGAGGTGCTCCCGAGTAGTCTCGATCATCTCGTCAACGGTCTGGGTGTACTTGACCTTTGTCTCGTCGGAGTAGCTAAGGTCCCAGTATGCCTCCGTCTTGAGGGTGCCACCAGCGCGGGCGACAGCGAAGAAGCCAGCGGCAAGCTAGAACATTATACCGTCAATGAACCGGAACAGGAGGAAGGAAAGGTCAAACGCACCTTAGAGACACCCTTGAAGGTGGTACGCTCGTCCGCAAACTCTCCATTGTCGACGATGCTCTCAATGTCCCACTCCGGCTTCCAGCCCAACGGAATGAAGGCCTTGATTTCGCTCGCGAAAAGGATGGCGCCGTTGTGGTAGGTGTAGTGGAGGGGGCGGATACCCAGTCTGTCGCGGGCAGCGAAGACCAGGCGGCGTCGGGCGTCATAGAGCACAAACGCCCATTCACCGCGCAGATCGCGGAGGCAGTTGAAGCCGTCGCGCTTGTATCTTCCGCGTCATTAAGCAACGAGCAAGAAAAAGACGATGTAGACAACTCACAGTTGGACGACGAGCTCCGAGTCGGACTTCGTCTTGAAGACGTAGCCCTGCTCGACCATCTCCGCGCGGATGCGGTCGTGGTCGTAGATCTCGCCGTTGACGATGCAGTGGATGTACTCCTCCTCGTCAGAGAGCGGCTGCTGGCCGGTCTTCAAGTCGATGATGGAGAGACGGGTGTGTCCGAAACCTTGCAAGTCATCAGGACCCAGGGCAGCTTAAGCAGAAGACACAATAACGCACCGAGACGGCCATCGGGAGAGACATACGTGCCCTCGGAGTCGGGGCCACGGTGAACGAGCATCTTGCACGACGCCTCCAGCTTCTGCCGGGTCTCCTCCGCGGGCGGGGGCGTGACGCCGTCGGGGTAGAATACGGAGGTGAGGCCACACATGTTGCTTGGGGAGGGAGAGGCAGTGGATGTGGGTGGGCAGACGCGGACGGAGAGTTTTCCCGCCCAGCCGCCTCCATCGCCATATTTATCACGCTTCCGTCAGCGCGATCGCAATAGGCAGTTCCGTGTTGTGAGGGGGAGCTTAGCATGCGACAGTTACGCCCCTTCGCACAGCTGTTGCGCTCCCAGATGCATGTGCAGGCGTGACTTGTCCTCCGTGAATAATGCGTACCAGCGCGGGCGAGCCAGGGCATGTCGGGGACGCCTCGGCGACGGGTAAGCGCCCGTTTCCATTGGCCCTGCGGATGCGGAGGGGGCTCGCCTGGGCGAGGAGAGAAGATGGATGTTCGTGACAAGCAGCGCCAGCACATCAATCACCATCACGCGATCGAGCTGCCAGGAAGTGGAGATCCCTTATCAGCTTCCGACGATCGTCGCGGTCAAGGCGAGGCACCGGGGCTCGTTGGGCCCCGCACGCCTCGGCGACGCCAGAAATAGGCCCCGCGCTGCGTTGTGTCCGGAGGCGCACGAAGAAAACCCCGCGCGCAATATCCAATCGACCGATCAGCGCATGTTAGTTTAGGGCGTGGAAGCCGCAGCAAAATCCAATGCCCAGCATAGTGATCGATGAGCTTGGAAGATGCGTATCGTCCATTGTCATACCCCGGTCTTCGCGCCGCAGCTTGTACGAATGACTCGGATCTTCCTGAGTTAACGCCTCGACGCTGGCGCGACGCTGCCACTTCAAGTGCTTCGCTGTCCCCCAATCGAGGCGGCGCCGGCCTACCTCACGATCGCGCCAGATTTTGCCCTCCTGACCTTACTCACATTCACTGCTCGAGAGCTAAACCACCAGCACGCGCCATGCCGTACGCTGATTCCACCTCCGCTTTCCGCCTATCCGCCCAGATCTCTTATCTTCCGGTATACTCTATACTCTATTAACCATATAGCACTTCTTCCGCGCCCTGATAGACGTCGCGCTTCGAATGCACGATCGCCAGCGGTATGCATCGTTGGAGCCCCATGCGGAATACCCGCTCTTGCTGACGCCCCGCGGCGCGGTCAGCATATCCGGAGTGCGAAGTTGGAGAAGAGGAACCATTGAAAGAGATCCCGCGAAGCTGTCAGTCCACGACAACGACAACGACAACGACAACGACAATGAACATGACAGTGATCAGAGAATAATCAGATTACTGCTGTATGCCCCGATTGTATTTATCTAGTGCTGTCCACAATTATATTATGGTAGAATATATTTTGAGTATATTCGAATAAATATGATTATATTATGCCCTCAGCATATTCAGACCCACTGAATATGAGTGATTATGAATATGCATAAATTATAAATATGCATAAATTATAAATATAATATATATTATGCCCTGGTCATAATTGATTTTCAAGTACACCAGAAAGCTCTGTAGCTTGTTGTAGCAGGCAGCAAGCCACTCCTGGTCCCTCCATCCAAAGTTGACATTTGGTTGCACATTCAACTAGTGCTGGCCATTATTATATAACAATTATTATATTACAATCTACTATTAGGTCATATTCATTATCATGGTTATTACAATTATATTATTTATATTATTAGTATGGCTCTGCCATAATATATTGTAAAATATTATTTTAGAAACTTACTCATGAACTTTCTACAAAAACCAGCTTGTACAGTACCATTTGAATTATTTATTTGTATTTAAGTTTGCCCAAGGCCATTTAAGTGTTATCACCACTGTTTGTAAATATTTGGAGATGGAAAAAAAGTCAAAGGGGCCTAATTGTCCCGTGAATTGCAGCCTATCTGAAGTTGAACATTGCACAAATGGTAACACAGACTCAGATCAACTCAACTCACTGCTGGCAAGCCTGAACTTAGCTGCAAACAAAATACTTTATGTTTCTACTCTACACTGTGCACACAAGGTAATACTTAAGGTTAAATAGGACAATAGGGTTTAAAGTAGCACATACTGTTCCATTTTATTCAATTTATCATGGCCTGAAGGCTGTGACATGCCTGAAAAACTTGGCAATTTGGCCAGGCTGTCCCCATTAGTTAATTTTGGCGCCGAAGGCACCAGAATGGAGTGAAAATACTATATTTGGACGTCTTTGGGTGCAAAATTTGGGTAAATGAACATGACTGATGAAGAAAAATCGTCAGATTCAGGTGTATGTGACATGTGACTGACCAGGTGATTAAAGGGCGGCAGTATTACATGCCCACATTTGACCCAAATTACTAGTACTGAGGGGGGTCTTTCCTCATCCAATCCACTGGCCAACCTGTGTACAAAACTAGTAATTAGGGCACAAAAACTTCTTACTTAAATTTGGTTAAGTGCAGCCTATCTGGCATCAAATATTAAATATATAGCATTGTAGACTGAGGTCAATCTACTGCAGATCTTGCCCTGAGCCACAAAGCAAGCCAATGATATAAATAATCAGATTACAGGCACTTACTGCTTGAGTATTCAACAGACAAGCTAACATTTGGCGCAGCTGGCAGGGGTATCCACACAGGTCTGTTTTGTTTCAGTATCTGGAAGAAAAGATAAAGAAAAAGCTCTGCTGTTTTTACTACATTGCAGCCCATCCAGAGTTGAACATGGTACAGATAGTATCACATACCCAGCCCAACTCACTGCCAGCAAGCTAGACCTTGGCTTTGGGAGGTTCAAGATTCTTATCAGGCAGATGGGGTAGGGGTCCCTGGGAAGTAAAAAAGTTTTTGTAGATAAAAGATTTAAGCATTATATGGGTATAAAGACACTGAAAACATAGTTTTTACACTCCAATTTCTATAGCTCACAACCCCCTATACTTATATCTATATACTTTCAAGCCCATAAGCTGGGATAGCCTATCTTACCATAGACCCATCATCAAGTAATTGATGGAAGGTGAACATATTAAAGAGTTAATATGGCCTGCCATGTGTGTTTGAAGGTGTCAGGCAAATAGATACCTACCTACACACATGCATACACACATACATATATATATATTATGCCCTTTTTTGATCGCATCAGTGGTCACAACATCACATGATGCTAATTGTGAGGATATATTACTATATATGGCAGGAGGGGGGAGGGGGGGTTCCCAGAGGGTCGGAAAAAAAAACTTTCCGACCCTATATATCCATGTTTTGAATCTTGAACCCCCCTTGATATGCTCGCCGGAAAGAGGTGCACTGCTGGCGTGACTCGAGTGTTGGTTAGTGCATTTGAGCTTGTAGCCTGCCAGGGAGAAGAGAGTAGATACACACAGTGCAGCAAGGGCTTGTGGTACAATGGTGCCAAGGAGCATGAGGCCTAGTGTTGACTAGGGCCGGGCCCAAGCCGTGAAGCCCGGCCCGGCCAAGCCCTTGGAAGCCCGGCCCTGGGGCGGGGCTTGCCAGGGCCTGGGGCTTGGGCTTGGGGCCGCCAAAGCCCTCCTGCATTAAGAGGTAGGGCCGGAGGGCTTCAGGCCCCAAGTTCTCCAAGCCCCCTTAGCCGAGGGCTGGGGCTCGGCTTCCTCCCAAGCCCAAGATAAGACAGTAGAGAAGTGCGGTCCATTGGGTGTTGTACTCGGCAAAGTATCAACACTGTTGCCAGGTTATTGTGGGTCCCAAATTAGCCCAGAAGTTCCTGACAGCAAACCAAAGTGGCAGTCTAAGTCTAGCGTCTGTACCGATTTAATCGTGGGAACCTATTACCCTATATGGCAGGAGGGTCCCTGGAGGGTCGGAAAAAATTTTCTGACTGATCTTGAACCCTTGGAGTGCGGCCCAAAATTCTGTTCTGGTACCTGGAAGAAAAGAAAAACAAGAAAAAATTCACTCCATTCCCATTACATTACAGTCCATCCGGAGTTGAACATTGAACGAAGGATATCGCATAGTTAGTCCAACTTGCTGCCAGTGAGGACCTCAGTAACTGCAAGTCTGCCACAACCAAAAGAGAAACGAGAATAAGACTTCATATTCTACTCTACACTCTTCTACACTGCGCATTTGGATACATCACAGGCCTTACATGGATGATGGTAGGTAATGGCTCGCAGACAAGCCGATACTCATCTTGTTGGCTGTTGCATGCACACTCCGGAGCTGCTAGTAACAAATCTCAAATAGATCTATCATGGGAAGGAAACCAAGAAAGGAGGGAAAATGTACCAGTTTGGTACAATCATGGCAGGGAATACGGCCCATCCGGAGTTAAACATTTACCAGCGTGGAATCATATGAACTCACTGCCGGCTAGCTAGACCTTGGCAGCTTGGCTGCAAACATATGAGGGGCACCAAGCTAGAGATGAGGAACTAGTGCTGGCCAGAATTATATTATGGTTGATTAAATATTGAATATATTCAGAATATTATGAATATATTATGCCCTTGGTGGATCACTTGAATATGATAATGTTTGAATATATTATATTATATTATAGTCACAGAATATTCAACTATAGTAAAATGGATGATCACAGCAATTTTCTCAGTCTATGTACTCAGTCATAGTACTAATCTTAGTCTGGGTTAGCCCTACTTCTGATAAATGTCACATATTAAGTATCTATTATTCATGGTGATTCATACATTACTCCTAGTAGGAATAAGTGTCAGGAGTGATCACTTTGTGGGTTGACCCTGTTAAACATAGTGTAGAACCTCTGATCAAGTGTCTACTAGCCAACCTAACACTAGTGGCAATGCCCCTGATCGTATTTTGAGAGTCCTATATAACCCAGGCCAGAAGTAGAGAGGCCTGAAAGGAAGTTTCCCTGACAATCCAGCATGTATTGTATGTTTTTGATTTTTTTTTCTAGCAGCAAATATGTCAAATATATCAAGAGATAGGCATACTAGATTATAGTTGAATATATTCATAACATATTCATATTTTGCGGCTGAATATGATTATACTATACTACAAATATATTATTGGGTTGGAGCTCTGAATATGATATGATTATAATATATTATGCCCACTCACACCGAAAGAGATCTCGGGCAGACGACAGCGACAACATGGCGCTGGCAGAGAATAATCACATTACTTGCCAGACAATGCCAGTGTACCTAGTGCTGGCCATAAATAAATATCTTTGAATAAATCTTGAATATATTCTGAATATTGTTGATATAATATGATGTCAGTACCTTGAATATTAATATACCTGAATATAATATAATATATTATGAATATATCATATTGCTGCCTAAGAATATTCAATTATACTTAAGTATTTAACTATTCCTGATTTTAGTATATCTTTGGAACATCTAGTATACTATTTTGATTAATCCTACATTAACATTTTTGACTGAAATTCTTGTGCCAGTCACAGGTCACAACAACAAGTTTCTAAGGTCCTAAACTGGCCCAAAATGGTAAATTTCTAAATTTTCTGCACTCATAGTGTACAGACATACCATATAAGGCAGGAGGCGACATCAAAGTTGGCTATTAACTGAGTTGCACATTCCTGTTACAGGTGTCACAGATCACTGGCCCATAAAATTGAATAAAATACTACAGTATCCTTTTGCCTCAAGTATACAATATCTGATATCTGCCCAACAAAGACAGTGTCAATTGGTATCATTACCAAGGAATGGCCAAAGGTGAGTTTGGCAGACATTTGAAACCAATACATTATATTTGAATATATTCATATCATATTGAATATCTGAGAGGAAATATGAATATAATATTCTCCCAAGTATGCAAATATGATATGAATATAATATAATATATCAATTCCATATTATATTTGTATTTGGCTAGCACTAAGTGTACCGGAGAAAAAGTCAATATTCACAATACTTGCTCCTGCGTTCATCCCAAGGCGGCCCCTCCGGCGTCGAACATCGAACGGATGGTGTCGCAGACTGAGGTCAACCCAGTGCGGATCTTGCCCTAGGAAACAAACGTTAACGATATGAATAATCAGATTACTAGTACGGTTACCGCTTGCATATGCATCAGACAGTGCCTGTGGTCGCGACCGGCACGCACATCGAATACGCACGGGCCTGTTCTCTTCAAAATGTTTTCGGAAGGAAACGCACGTTATGCAAGAAGGTGAAAAAATCGAGAGGATGTATTGCGGCCCATCCGGAGTTGAACTTCCGACGGATGGTACCGCAGAATCAGATCAACTCGCTGCCGGCGAGACAAACCTTAGCTGCCACAACAAAGCCTGCACCAAACAACGAACAGACAAGAAAAAAGACTTCATATTCTGCTCTACACCGCGCATTTTTGTGTCTACGATCCTATAAATACATTTATCTTTTCTCCTTCCCCCTCTACTTCACGCAAGGCTGTACCGCTCGCCGTCCTTGAGAATGCCCTCCTCGATCGCCTTGATCTGGAGCGCGACGTGCTTGGAGTGGAAGCGGCTCATGCTGAGGTTGCCGGTCATGTACCACAGGCCCTTCACGCCGAGGTCGCGCCACGCGCCGTTCATCTCGCCCTCCTTGTCGAGCCCCCACACCGGCCGGATCGTGTCCGCGATCTTGTCCCCGCACAGCTTGCGGATGAACGCTGACACGTCCCCGAAGCCCGTCGCGTAGATCACGACGTCGGCATCCAGCGCGCTGCCGTCCTCGAAGGAGAGACCAGTCGGGGTATAGGACGCGAGCAGCGAATCGGCCTTGAGCTTGATCTTGCCGTCGATGATGAGCTGCGACGCGCCGACGTCCATGTAGTACCCGCCGACCCGCGTGACCGCGCTCATCAGCAGCCCCGCGTCCATCACGCCGTTGTTCAGCTTGAAGCCCCGTGCGCGGAGGCCATCGAGCAGCGCCTTGTCCGCGCCCGCCAGCGCGCTCGTGCGGCGCCTATTCAGCTCAATGCTCGCCAGGTGGGGGAAGCTCGCGGCGAGCTTGTCCGCGACGTCGGTGGGCGGGCCGCCCTCCCAGTAGATAGGCCGCATCATGTGCTGCGCGAGCGTCTTCTGCGAGATGACGTACGTCGGCGAGCGCTGGTACATCGTGACGTCGACGCCCTGCTCGACGAGCTCGCTCGCGATGTCGTGCGCGGACGTGCACGCGCCGACGACAACCACTTTCTTCCCCGCAAAGTCCGCGGCCCGCTTGTGCTGCGTCGAGTGGATGATCGTCCCCTTGAACTCGCCCGCGCCGGGGTACTCGGGCACGCGGCCCTCGCCCGCGCCGATCCCCGTCGCGAACACCACGTGCGGCACGCCCGTGAAGGTCCGGTCCGGCTTCCCGGCGCGCGACACCGTCACGGACCAGCGGCCATTGGCATCAGGCGCGGCGGAGAGCACCGTCGCCGCCGTCCACACGTCCAGCTCGAGCACATCCGCGTAGTTCTCGAGCCAGTTGCCGAGCTTCTTCGCGGGCGTGTACACCGGCCACGTCGTCGGGAAGCTGCCCCAAAAACGTCAGTGTCAGAAGAAAGGAAGACTTCATTTGACACGCACGGGAAGTACGGCTGGTGGTTGTACCACACGGGGTCGTGCAGACACAGCGCCTCGTACCGCTCGCGCCAGTTATCTCCAATTCTCGCGTTCTTCTCCACGATCAGCGTCCTTACGCCGAGCACCTTCAGTCTTGCTGCGAGGTTCAGCCCGCTCTGGCCGCCGCCGATCACGAGCACCGTCGGGCTCTCCGTCTCGTACGCCGCGAGCGCCTTCTCGCGCCCGCTCACCCACTTCCCGTGGTTCGGCGCGCCGTCCCTGAGCGCCCCGATCTGCTCGGGGTGCGCCTTCAGGTTCTCCAGGTTCGTGAACACCACGTGCGCCTTCCACTCTGTCGCGCTCGCCGGCACGAGCCGCACGATGCCGAAGGCAATCCCCTGCGCGGTCGTGAAGCTGAACATCGCGTTGATCCACACGAGGTCCGGCATCGGCTTCATCAGCATCGCGCCGGGCACGGGCTTGATGCTGCCCGCGTCGACCAGCTTCAGGCGGTCGGCCGCGAAGGCCTGGACGGCGTCGCGCCCGTTGAACGTGCGGAAGTCCCACGTGAGCGCGAGGATGTCGCGCCAGTGCGAGTCGGGGATGAACAGCCCCGAGATGTCGGGCGAGGGCGAGGAGGCAGCGGCACCGAGCGCGGTGAGCCACGCGCCGACGATCGCGGGGACGTCGGGCGCCTCGGGGAGCGCGGACGCCGCGACGCCGAGGCGGTCGAGCGTGGGCAGGGGGTACACGGTGAGGTGGTCGGTGGCCATGGTAGGTCGTATGTGGGGAAGTCGGATAGGCGGACCCAGTCCCTTGCTTTTCTATAGCAGGCCGCGCGTCCTTGCCCCGATCGATCAGTGGGTAGCCATCCGCCAGATCGGGGGCTGCTTCGCGACTCCCTCGCAGATGGAGAAGATGGATTCGAGATGGGCGCGGAAGACAAGGGGCGACGTGGCATCTGATTGATGTGCCGTGACGCCAATTGTCGAGTAGCGATCGATGTCAGCGGAGATGATGCAGCGAACGATGCGTATCCGATTCGCCATCCGATGTCCGATATCCGCAACGCGACGACCCGCATACCCGCCGAGCCGCGCGCGCTGACTTGATATGTGATGTGTGGGCGCTTAATAAGCGGATGCACGCCGGCGGCGACGCGAAGGGGTGAGCTAGGAGTGCTCAATCCAACCACGGCCACGGCCGCTCCCGGTCGGTCATGATGAAGCCCTGACGGCCCAGACGGCGCAGGCGTGGACATCACTATGGAGGGCGGCCGGCTCAGTTGGAGCCTGTCAACCGGCGGAGCCTGGGCGAGGGACACCACCAGCCGGGCCCGCGACGGCCGCGGAGCTCTATATGTGTGTGCTTCCCATTTGCTAGGGGTCCACACTTCTTTGGACACTGCCCGGGCTTCCCACCACAAGCCTCATGGAGCTCGCCAACGCTGTTGGCTCTTGCACAAGCTACTCCCCCGACCCGCGCACACAACGCAAAGATCAAAGTCCAGTGTGAACCGCGGTCGACGCTGGTCTTTGTTAGGTGTTGCTGGGGCTTCCTAGGCCCCTTATTGGAGGCCTTCAAGGCGGCACTGAGACCCACAAACTCTACACTGTCAATCAACATCAGCATTGACATCTAATGATCCAATCACCATCTTATCATCCATCTTATCTCCCTTGTCTTATCTTATCAACCAGGCCAGAATAGAAGGTTGAAAAGTTGAAGAAAAAGGTTTCTTGAACCCAGGGTTTGACACAGACAATTGATTAAAGCACTACAGTACACTATCTATAAATCCTATGTATGTTATCATAGGCTACACTAGGGAGACATGGAGGGCTGAGGATGACACAAATGTAAGTACTATTGAAGTAGTCATCAAGAGGAAGGTAGCTGATAGTAGGAAGCCCAATCCTCTCCATGAACAAAGTGCTGATAGTTAAAGACTACCTCGGGAAAACCAATGATCCTGGTGTTCAGTGGCATACGGAAGCCACGGCGGTGATGGGGAGGTAGCCAGAATAATAGATTCCGAGTGAGGGAGAGAACCCAGCCATCATCATTCATATTCCAAGATAGGGAATGATTATTCTGTTGTGTGCTATCCCATAAGCGGATTGTGTGATCACTTGACCCTGAAACAATTGTTTTCCCATCTGGGGAGAAGGCAACAGATTTAACAGAATCTCTGTGCCCTCGGAGAGGAGCTCCTACTGGCTTACCACTTGCTGTATCCCAAATGCGAACTGTTTTATCATCTGACCCAGAGACAATTCTCTTGCCATCTGGGGAGAAGGCAACAGATCGAACATAATCACTGTGTCCTATAAGAGGAGCTCCTGTGGGCTCACCACTTGCTGCATCCCATATGCAGAGTGTTTTGTCTATTGAGCCAGAGACAATCCTTTTGCCATCTGGGGAGAAGGAAACAGATTGAACAAAATGACTGTGCCCTGTAAGGGGAGTTCCTACAGGCTCACCACTTGTTGCATCCCAAATGCGGACTGTTTCATCATATGACCCAGAGACAATCTTTGTGCCATCAGGGGAGAAGGCAACCGATTGAACTGACCCTTTGTGTCCTGTGAGAGGAGCTCCCACTGGCTCACCACTTACTGCATCCCAAATGCGGAGTGTTTTGTCATCTGACCCAGAGACAATCCTTTTGCCATCTGGGGAGAAGGCAACAGATCGAATCCAAGATTCATGCCCCGTGATACGAGCACCCACTGGCTCACCACTTGCTGCATCCCAAATGTAGACTGTTCTTTCCTTTGACCCAGAGACAATTTTCTTGCCATCTGGGGAGAAGGCAACAGATTGAACCCAATTTATGTGCCCTCTGAGAGGAGCTCCCACTGGTCCACCACTTACTGTATCCCAAATACGGATAGTTTCATCATTTGATCCAGAGACAATTCTCTTGCCATCAGGGGAGAAGGCAACGGATTCAACCCAATTTGTGTGCCCTACAATACGAGTACCTATTGGCTCACTACTTGTTGCATCCCAAACACGGACTGTTCTGTCCCTTGACCCAGAGACAATTCTCTTGCCATCTGGGGAGAAAGCAACAGATTGAACCGTATCTCTGTGCCCTCTGAGAGGGAGCTCCCACTGGCTTGCCACTTGCTGCATCCCAAATACAAACTGTTTTATCATCTGACCCAGAGACAATTTTCTTGCCATCTAGGGAGAAGGCAACAGATTGAACCCAATCTCTGTGCCCTCTGAGAGGAGCTCCCACTGGTTTACCCCTTGCTGCATCCCAAATGTGGATTGTTCTGTCACCTGACCCAGAGACAACTCTCCTGCCATTTGGGGAGAAAGCAACAGATTTGACCCACCCTTTGTGTCCTGTGAGAGGCACTCCAAGTAGCTCACCACTTGCTGCATCCCAAATGCGGACTGTCATGTCATCTGACCCAGAGACAATTCTCTTGCCAGCTGGGGAGAATGCAACAGATTGTACAGCATCTAAGTGCCCTGTGAGAGGGGCTCCCACTAGCTCACCACTTGCTGCATTCCAAATGCGAATAGTTTTATCTCTTGATGCAGAGACAATCCTTTTGCCATCTGGGGAGAATGCAACTGATTGAATACACTGTCTGTGCCCTATAAGAGGAGCTCCCACTGGCTGACCACTTGCCGCATCCCAAATGCGGACTGTTTTGTCCTCTGACCCAGAGACAATCCATCCTTTTGCCATCTGGAGAGTAGGCAATACATTCAATATACTCTCTGTGACCTATAAGAGGAGCTCCCACTGGCTCACCACTTGCTGCATCCCATATGCAGACTCTCTTGTCATGCAAAGCAGTAGCAATTCTTCTGTTATCTGGGGAGAATACTACTGCACTGACTACACTCTCTGCTTGAATGTCAAACAGGAATGTGGGCCAGTTTGTCCAATAGCCTTGGCTGATAATCAAGCCTTTTATTCTGTATTCATCCAGCAACTCATGACATTTTGCTTGCCTTGGAATTTGCCATAGAGCTGAGACATACAAATGAGGTGTGCTCTGACTGATACATTTCCCAAACACCTCCAGAAATCTTCCTATATCCTCTAGCTGATTCCAAAGCTCCTGGCCCTGACCCTACTCATCCAAAAATGTCAACCATAAGTGCATTGTGACTTGACAGTGGCCTACCTCCTTATTTAACCTACTAACAATACTCTGAATCTGATAGATTGTCTCCCCAATGTATCCTATCAAGCTAAGAACCTCCACCCAGAAACACCACTTCATCTTTAGAAACTCTATTAGAGCATTTGTATCTTGACCATCCATAGTGATATGCCTTATCCAATGCTTGCTGCAATATTGTAAGACCTTTGAAATGTTTGCCACAATATCAATATTCTGCTCAGAATTCAACTTATGGGATGTAGGAATGTTGCAGATATTGAATTTCAACTGTGCTCTCAATGTTTGAAGCACTTGTCCAAAGACATATGTCTGGGCTCCTTCTGAACTACAGTGTAAATCTCCATTCTGGTGTTCTTCAGGTGCCTGAAGCATAAATTCCTTGAAGGATAGATGATATATATGGACAAGTCCTATATGATCCCCCAGATCTGGTACATGAATTACTGCACCGAGCTCCATCAAGGTGATATGAACATTCTCCTTAGTCTCCCCCAGCAATGTGGAGAGACTTTCAAGATCTAGTGGCTCCACCAAATTGAGTACAGCATATAGGATATGAAGTTGTCTTGAATATGTGACTACCTCCCGTTGATCTGCTCTGGGGGGTAGCTTAACCACAGCTGACACAATCCCATGGTAGAGTGCATTGATCTGTTTGTGCCCCCCTTTAAGCCCTTGAAGATACTCTGCTTCATTATCCCACTTCTGGGACCTCTTATGATCAATATACAGGACAGATGTTGCTGCATAGATGAATAATGTAGCTGACTGCTGTTTAATATATGATAGAGCTGAAGCAGCCTTTGCTTTGTCATGCCACTTTGGTGAAGCTATTGGCAGCTTGAAGTCAAGATACTTCTGGATGTCTGCCTCCACAGTTGCTGGATCTTGTCAGGGGAACCCCCGCTTCCGGCCTCCTTCGGACCCTCCGAACGCATCCGAGGCGCATCCGACCGGCGCCCCCTCGGACGCTCCGACCCACCCCGACCACCGTCCACGGCCTCCTTCGCCCGCACAATCACCGATCCGTCAAGACCCTCCCAACGATCACCTTGGGACAGAGCCTGCGACGCCGCTCAGGCCTTCTGCGCTCTACGTCGGCAGTTACGGACGACCAGTATATAGTTGGCGCCCTAGCAGGCGGACCCTTAGAGTTTCTTCTCTTTGGATCCTCCCCTGCTAGGTCGGTCCCTCCGTGTATTTCCCGTAGCTTTTATTCACGCTTTGGATCCTCCCCTGCTAGGCTTTCGTCGGAGTCTCCAGGGTTGCCCTTACAGCAGAAGAAACTCTCTACGGGATTAACCGGTCAAGATTGCCAGGTTTGGTGCTGACTCAGGCTCGGAGTACGAGTCCGTACCCCCCTCGTCACCGCCCCTGCCACTTGACCCCTCCTCCTCTGCTCTTGTCGTCTTTACGCCCGCTATGTCTACCGGAGCTGCTCCGGACGCTGACGCGCATGGACGCACTTGAGGCGAAACTAGACAACCTCACCAATCTCCTCACCCACCTTGCTTCCCAGGCTTCCGCTGCCGCACCACCTCCGGCAGCTCCCGAACCGCCCTGGCATCTCCGAATGCCCCCGACGGGATGCTATTATTTGGTGACATTACTGTCGC